TCTATATTCAGATTTCTGAGATATCTCCAAACTGTCTTCCATGGTGGTTTTACCAGTTTACATTCCCACCAACAGTGGATTACAGTAAGCTTTTTCCCCACATCCTTGCCAGCATTTGTTGGTTGTTGATTTCTGTGTGAAAGCCATTCTAACTAGGGTAAGGTGAAACCTCACTGTGGTTTTGATTTGCATTTCCACGATGGCTAGCGATTCTGAACATTTTTTTCATGTTTCTGTTGGCCTTTTGGATTTCTCCTTTTGAAAAATGTTTAAGTCCTTTGCCCATATCTAAAATGGTTGTTTGTTTTATTGTTGTGGAGTTTCTTCATCTCTTTATATATTATGGTTATTAATCCTTTATCAGTTGAATAGTTTGCAAATAATTTATCCTGTTCTGTCGGTTGCCTCTTCACTTTCCTGAGTGTTTTTTTGCGGTACTGAAGCTTCTCAATTTGCTGTAATCTCATTTGTAAATTTTGGCTTTGATTGCCTGTGTCTCTGGGGTCTTTTCCAATAATTCTTTGCTTGATGCCAGTATTTTGCAGGTTTCTCCAATATTCTCTAATAATTTGATGGTATAAGATCATAGATTTAGGTCTTTAATCCATTTTGTGTAAGGTGTAAAGTAGGGGTCATGCTTCATACTTTCGCATGCAGACATCCAGTTTTCCCAGCACCATTTGTTGAAGAGATTGTCCTATGTCTCCCTTTAAGTCCTTTAACATTTCTTTTAAATAGCCCAGTGCCCTGTAATTAGGTGCATGTATGTTTATAATATAATAATCTTCCTGTTGAATTGATCCCTTAATCATTACATAATGCCCTTCTTTGTCTCTTTTAACAGTTTTTGGGTTAAAGTCTATTTTGTCTGATATTAGGATGGCTACACAAGCTCTTTTTTGGTTTTTCTTAGCATTAAATATCTTTTACATCTTTTCCCTTTCAGTCTGCATATATCTTTGGTGGTAAGATGTGTTTCTTATAGGCAGCAAATAGATGAGTTTTGTTTTTTAATCAATTCAGCAATTCTGTATCTTTTAACTGGAGAGTTGAGGCCATTTACATTCAAGGTGACTATTGAAAAGTAACAAGTTTGCCCTGCCATTTTTTCCATAAATATTCATGTTTTTTACTTCGGATTTCCTTTATACTTTCACTGGGAGATTTCCTTCCTTTACCTTCTTTCATGGTGATGACCATGTTTCTGTATTTCTGTGTGCAGCACATCCTTAACATCTTTTGCAGAGCTGGACAGGTGGTGACAAATTCTTTCAATTTCTGTTGGTTATGGAAGGTCTTTATTTTACCTTCATTCATAAATGAGAGCTTTGCAGGGTATAGTATCCTGGGTTGATAGTTCTTTCTCTTAAGACTTGGGCTATATCTCACCATTCTCTCTTAGCCTGTAGAGTTTATGATGAGAAGTCTGCTGGGAGTCTAATTGGAGATCCTATGAATGTGATCTACCATTTCTCTTGTGCACATTTTAGAATCTTTATGTTTTACTGTGGAGAGTTTGATTGCGATGTGTTGTGGTGAAGACTGTTTATGGTCATGTCTATTAGAAGTTCTCTGTGTTTCCTGTACTTAGTTGTCCCTTTGTTTCACCAAATTAGGGAAGTTTCCTGCTACTGTTTCACTAAAAAAGACCTAATCTTTCTCTCTTTCCATGCCTTCACGAACTCCTAGAACCCGTATGTTGGGTCATTTGATAGTATCCTGTAGATTCCCAACAGTGGTTTTTAATTTTCTAATTTTTTCTTCTTCTATTTGGTCTGACTGTGCAATTTCCTGTGCTTTGTCTTCTATGTCAGATACTCTTTCTTCTGCTTTGCTGATTCTGTTGTTAAGGCTTTCCACTGTATTTTTTATTCATTCTATTGAATTCTTCATTTCCAAAATTTCACTTTGATTTCTCTTTAATATCTCAATTTCATGGGAGAAATTTTCTTTCATGCCCTGTATGGATTTTGTTTGTGCATTTGCTTCTTATTACTTCTGAGTAGTCTTATGATCAATCTTTTGAATACCATTTCTGGCATTTTGTCAGTGTCATCCTCTTCACAATCTAGTACTGAAAGGCTGTGATCTTTTGAGGGTGTAATGTTGTCTTCCATATTCTTGTTTCTTGAATTGGCATTTTGTTATTCGGCATCGGTGGAGACACTTGTTGGTTTCTTCTTTGTTTTTTCACTGTGGCAGATTTTATCTTTGTACTATGCCTCTGTAGATTAGTGGAATGTCTGCTTTTAGTGACTATTTAGAGGTTCATAGTGGGTATTGCAGGAAACTCTGTTCAGTGCTCCAGGGTGAAGGGCATGGCTGAGGTGACACACCCAGGTGTGGCATGTTAAATCTCTCTCTCTCTCTCTCTCTCTTTTTTTATCAGAGGGGAGGTTTGTTCTGTTGGCATAGACTCATCTGTGCTCCTCTCCTCAAAGGAGAAAAGTGCCTTAGTGCTAGCCCCAGTGGGTGTAATATTCATCCACTCTGCCCAAGGACCACACAAAATATCTGTCGAGTCCTCAATGTAAGCTCAGATTCCCCAGGAGTGTCCCTCGCAAGGTAACCAGGGAGCCCTGATCATGTGGAGCCTCCCACAGTGACTGCCCAAAGTCCCAGCCACACCCTGAGTCCTCCCACACAGCCTCAGTTTTTTCACAGTCCTGGCCACAAGCCTTCCACAGTCACGAGCACCCAGCCCTGTTAGTTCTCTCCACCTGACTCAGGAGTTTCTGCTTGGTTGATGGGGCAGACATGAGCTGGCACAGCTGTTATGTGTGTTGAAAATGGCACCTGCTCTCTGTCAGCTTGTTACAGCATGCCTTTGCAGGGTGATTGAGGAGAGGGAAAACATGCTTTGTTTTTTCACCTCTATTTTAGCAGGTACACTATCCCCCAGGGGTTCCAAGCTGGATTCCCTCAAGGCTCTTCCTGCAGCTTTTTCACCAGACTTGGTGAAATGCAACTTGGACTGCTGCATTCTGGTCTCACCTCACTCTCCAATGCTGCTGGGTTCCTGAGTTGTGCATATCTGCACCCTCCACATAGGTCCCCTGTGTCCCTCCAGTTTGCGTAGAGTTTCCTGTGCTGTTTTCTCCATAACTCTTCCCTGAGACTGCACTCTTTCCACATTTTTTAAACGATCGTCTCCTAGACTTGCGAATGTTTTGATTGATGGATTTTTCTCTTCATTATGGGGCATATTTTCCTGCATTGGTGCATGCCACATCATTTTTTATTGCATTTTTGACTTTGTGAAATTTAATCTTTTGGTAGCTAGATAATTTTGATTGTTATACACGTTTTGAGCTTTTTTTCTGTGAGGCAGTTAGTTTGTCCAGAAACGTTTGATCTCCTCTTGCCTTGCTCTTAGGATTTGTACAGTGATTTGTTGAATCTGGAGTTAATTATTCCCTCTGTTGGGATAAGAACCGTTTGAGCCTTCTACCAATTGCCTTGTGTATGTGAATCATTTCCAGTATGAATGGAGTGAATGGGCCCTGTTCTTGGTCCTGTGTGAGCACCTGATAAGGTGCCATCTGAGTCTGCATTGGTTCATCCCCTGGCTGTAGTCAGAATCTTCACAGGTAGCACTGATTAGAATTTTGCGCTCTCTCTTCCCTTTTGCCAAGACCTGAAAACTCGTTAAAGAAGTAGACAGGGAACCGGCATTTACCTAGTAGTTAAGATGCTTGCGCCCCACATCAGAATGCCTGAATTCAATTCCCAGCTCCAGCTGCTGGCTTTAGCTTCTCACCAATGCAAACCCTGTTGGGCAGTAACTGAACCACTTGGGAGACCTGGACTGAGTTCCCATCTCTTGGGTTCTGCCCTAGCCCAACACCAGCTACTGGGGGCATTTAGGAGGGTGAACCAATAGATGGGATCTCTCTCTAATTTTCTGCTTTCTGAGGAGGGGGAGAGAATGGAGCAATTTTAAGGCAAATCTGTTTCATATTTCCCAGGGATAACCATCCTCTAGGGCTCCATGTCCCATGTCTTTTTTTTGTTAAGATTTGTTTATTTATTTGAAAGTCAGAATTATGCAGAGAGAGATTGAGAGCGGCAGAGAAAGAGAGAGAGGTCTACCATCTACTGGTTCATTCCCCAATTCTCTGAAATGGCCGGAGCTGCACCCACACAAAGCCAGGAGCCAGGAGCTTCCTCCAGGTCTCCCATGTGGGTGTAGTGGTCCAAGGACTTGGACCATCTTCTACTGCTTTCCCAGGGCATAGCAGAGAGCTGGATCGGAAGTGGAACAGCTGGGACTTGAACCGGTGCCCATATGGGATGCCGGCACTGTAGGTGGTGGCTTTACCTGCTAGGCCACAGTGCCGGTCCCATCCATGCCCCGTGTCTTAAAGTCACTGCTTCATATGTTTTGTCAAGGTGCTTTGGTTGTTTCAGGTTAGAAGGTAAATACATTTCTTGTTTCTTCACTTTTGCTACAAGTACAAATCTATGCCCATTTTTGGCCTGGGGCTTTAATTTAAGTCACCTATTTTACTCAAATGGTATTAGGCTTTACATTATATGAAGGCACTTCAAAAAGTTAATGGAAAATGGAATTAAAAGGTAAATACATTTTGGTGCAAAAAAAAGTTTTGAAATCCAATATAGTTTTCTCATAATATGAGTTTTCCATGAAATTTTTCAAGACCCCCCCCCCCCAGACATGGATTTCAAAGGTTTTTTACACTAGGACAACCTTGTCTGATAATTGTACATTCTATGAGCATTTTGAAGTATCAGAAAGCAAGCAACAAACAGGTGCTACAGATGGAAAATCTGTCCTGAGTCTTGGTTCTTTCCATCTCTTGGTACAACACTGGGGAGCTTCCTCCTGTTTTGGGGCTTTTGTTTGCTGACTTGTGCACAGGGTCACTCAGCGGCACTGCTGTGGGGGGAGCAGTACCATATATTAAGCATCTGACAAATACATACTGGCCTGGCTCAGCTGAAGCCCACTCACTTCTCTGCTTGTGACTGTGTTTCAGTGCGCAGGCAACTGTGGGTTCAGCCACCAACAGCGGATCACGTACTGTGTCGGGATCCCGTCTGCGAGGAAGCAGAAGCCCCTGCAGCTCCGGCCTGTGGCCTACCGAGAGTGCCCCGTGCTAACCTCCCCCCAGGCTTACCAATGCATGGCGAGGAGGTGTTTGCGTGTGGCCTCCTGGAAGGTTGGGAAGTGGAGCAAGGTCAGTGCACGGGGATGCGTCTGAGACGTCAGAGTAGACTGTCTAGGTGCGGGCTCTCTGGTCTGCTGTCTCCTGGGAGCCCCCAGCTTGTCTCAGACCCCGTTGTCTGAAACCCGCTTTATCTGTTGTGTACGTATCTTTCTTTCTACGCTTGCTGTAACTCGTGCATCCGCAGAGACCACCACTAAGTCTGTGCTCTGTTTTTCCCAGACTTATTTCTGGTTAAGTGAAGAAAATTAATCCGATTCATGGAAGTTATTTGCACTAGATTCTTTGTCTAACTAAATTAATGGAAGGAAATAAATACTGCTTTGCAAACTTACAATACAAAGAGGATGGAAGAAGTTCATGGAAAATTCACATTATGCTTTAATTCAATTTTTCTATGAAGTTTTTGAAGTTTCCTTATATAATTTATGAGAGAATTCTTGGTAGTCTTAGTAACCATCCTTAATTAATGTTTATGAGGGGATTGCAAAAATTTATACAGAGATGGGATAAAAATTAAGGGTTTTTGATGCAGAAAGTTTTGAAATCCATGTAATTTTTATTTCATAATAAGCACTTTTCCTTGAATTTTGAAGATCTCTTGTATGCAAGGATTAAGAATAGTGTTTTTAAAGGTTTATTTATTTATTTGAAAGGCAGAGCTATGGGGGGGGAGAGAGGGAGAGAGAGAGAGAAAGAGAGAGGGAGAGAGAGAAAGAGAGAGAGGGAGGGAGAGACGTGGGAGGAAAAAAGAAATCGTCTATACACTGGTTTACTCCCCAAATGGCTGCAATGGCTGGGGCTGTGCCATGCTGAAGCCAGGAGCCTGGTCTTCCATGTGGATGCAGAGGCCCAGGGATTTGCGCCACCCTCTGCTGCTTTCCCAGGTGCATTAGCAGGGAGCTAGATGGGAATGGAGCAGCCGGGTCTCAAACTGGCACCCTTATGGGATGCTGGTACTGCAAGTAGAGGCTTTACCTACTGTGCTACAACACCTGCCCTGGGTTTCAAAAACTTTTTACTCCAAAAAGAACTTAATGTCTTTATTTTTCCTTTCTGCAAAGTTATGAAATTATCCCTTTATTCATATTTACAACATGCTATTCCTGAAACTGCTCAAAGTAATTGAAAGACCAGTAACTGAGAAATAATAAATCCGGGCTTATGCCTAAGGATTTTTCCCACCTGCAACCATCCATTTTGTAGGTGCACTTTGGCATTCCAGGAATTCTAGACCTCAGAAGGACCTTGTCTGAGAGGAGGAGGTGTGGCTTGTCTTGCTACATTATTCACTGTAGACTGTAGACTTTGCCTTCCAATTGTAACCTGTCTGCAGTGCTCGGTGACCTGTGGAACTGGAGCAGTGGAAAGAAGGGTGGAGTGTGTGACTGAAGATGGGTGGCCCAGTGACTTGTGTTTGAAGCATTTAAGACCACATGCTCAAAAGAAGTGTTACGTCAGTGACTGTAAGTAACAGACTTCAAAAACCCACCTAGAACCTCAGTGTTCCTAGGAAATTCTGGCTAAAATGCAAACTAAATATCTAGTTAACACTCTGGTGTCAGATTGTCAGAGCCTTGGGTGGTTACACCCACGCTGGGTTCTCATTCATGCTTCGTAAGTTCTGTTAATTTGCCTCTTAAGGTAACTCACTTACCACCTGCAAGGAAATCCAAGTGAAAAACAACATCACGGACGATGGTGACCATCTCCTTAATGTTAAGGGAAGACTCATAAAGGTATGGCAAGAGCAACTCCTGTTTGGTTTCAGGTTTGACCGTTGGCTTTGGAAAAATGACTTAGATGTTTGCCTTTTGCCTGTAGATCCACTGTGCAGACATGCACTCGGACAACCCCAGGGAGTATTTACCACTGGTCAAAGGAGAGCAAGACAACTTCTCGGAGGTATATGGCTCTAGGTATGCGCTGTGTTCTCACTTCTCTGGGCACTGTGCTGGTCCTTGGAGACGATCAGAAGTTCCAGCCTTCAGAGTGACACTTGAGCAGCTCCTGTGTGAGACAAGTAATGTAGGCGCAGGTGGACATAGGAGGTCCAGCCCAGGTGTTGTCCATGCCCACATGATAATAAAGGAGTGAGCATTAAGAGGTGGTCACTGGGAGACTGACCAAGAAAGCTTTGTGACCCACAGGACAACAGGAGAGGGAAGAGTGAAGGACCATGCACATTTTCCTAGGGATCAAATTAATTCTAGGAACAAGGCTGGGAGAAGTAGAGCTGAGTGAGTCCCACAAGCTGTTGCTGACTTTCCCGTTGAGCAGTTTTACTTCTTCCTGTAGCTGGTTCACGCTATAATAATGAAGACCGGGCCGTGTCTTTTACCTCCCCACTTCCACCCACAGCTTGCTGTTTATCCACCTGATGGCCTCATACCTGTGTCTGATCCTGCAAATGTTGCAATACTGTTGCAGGCTGCAAAACCCCTATGACTGTCCTTTCAATGGGAGTAGGAGGCAAGACTGTGAATGTAAACACGACTACCTGGCTGCTGGATACACAGTTTTCAGCAAAATAAGAGTCGATCTCACTTCCATGCAGATTAAAAGTAAGTGGAGCATCCCTATTTTTAGAACAAAAAGCCTGCATTTGCTGATGAAAATCTAGCAGTACACTGGAAGATGTGACAGTCGTGTGTAGAAGAGGGCTTATCAGGGTTCATCCACTCCTGAAATTCTTAAACACAACTTATTAGTTGCATAATTTCTCAGCTACAGCGAGCACCGTGGAGACCCTCAATACAAATGGAGTGGTAATGACAGTGGTAAGACCCAGTCCTGCCGGTGCTGCAGCTCACTTGGTTAGTCCTCCACTTGCGGCGCCGGCACCCCGGGTTCTAGTCCCGGTTGGGGTGCCAGATTCTGTCCCAGTTGCTCCTCTTCCAGGCCAGCTCTCTGCTGTGGCCCGGGAGTGCAGTGGAGGATGGCCCAAGTCCTTGGACCCTACACCCCATGGGAGACCAGGAGGAAGCACCTGCCTCCTGGCTTCAGATAGGCGCAGCGCGCTGGCCATAACAGCCATCTGGGGAGTAAACCAACAGAAGGAAGACCTTTCTCTCTGTCTCTCTCTCTCTCTCGCTGTCTAACTCTGCCTGTCCAAAAAAAAAAAAAAAAAAAAAAAAAAAAAAAAAGAAGAAGACTCAGTCCTTCCCACATAAAGCCTCTGCCAGAACACCTCCAAATACATTAAGGTTAAGGTAGTTAATAGCCTCAGTCTCCTGTGTAAACTGTTTTTCAAGGTTTAAACTAGGTATTAGCATTGGTTTCATAGGGTAATTTATCAAGCCTCATCTTCCCATACACAATTGTGTTTGATCTTTTTAACCACCCTGGGTTAGTCACGGCAGGTGTTATAATGTTACAAGTGGTAAAGCCAACCTAATTGTCCAGATCACAACTGTAGCAGCTGTCACTGAGGGGGAATAAAGTCCAGCAGACTCCCACAGACCCGGGACTGTGGCTTACTCGGCCTTGCTGGGGAGTCACTCACAGTTCCGTCAAGTCAGTCATATTTCTGGAGCTGGCGTTGCAGGGCAGAGTGCACCTGCTGCCCGGAAAGTTGCATGGCTCCAGAAAGAGGCCAGGAGGTTCATCTGGAGGCAAAGACTCTAACCCCACCCACTGCTGGCTAACCGGAGCCTAACGCAGTGCATGGACCGCATTAGCTGAGACAGTGGTAGGAATCCACAGTATCCCAGTCCCGTCCCAGGACGCAGCGGAGCTGTCACTGTTAGTGGTTGGGTCCCCCGTGTGCTGACCGTCTTCTGTCCTCACGGTGTGGGAGCTGCCTGCTGCTCTGGCTCTGGTCCTAACTCTGGGCGCGGACTGGGTGCGAAGCCTTTTCCAGTTAGCTCACTTGGATGTGTCTCTTCAAACCTGGAGCCCTCGCTTACGAAATGTGAACCTGCCTCCCCCTTCTTTCTTTCCTTCCTTCCTGCCCTTTCACTCTTATTGTTATTTTTTTGAAGAGTAAGCAATGACATTTTGGCAACATATCTGGCTGCTTTAGTGTATACCATAAATACTGTATAATTGCTAATTATTGTTTAATAATTTCTTGTATCAGGTATTAGTATTACTGAGTCACTTGATTGCTTACTTACTGTTAAGTAGGCTGTTATTTTTCATTAATTTATCAAAATGAGCTGCCGTGTTGCCAGGTGTTTGGCTGGACCCTGAGTGGGCTGTCAAACACACACATTGACTCGTACCGTCTCCTTCCTCACATGTGGTGGTGGAAGCCCAGCCGTACTACATTAAGCCGTTCTGCATTCTGCTGTATGGAAATTAACAAGACAAATCACACACCGCTCTGGGACCAGCCCCTCTCATGCACAGCGCTGCCGAGCTGCCTGGCGTCCTGTACTTTACCCCCAGTCCCTGCCACCCCCTTCCACTCTCCTGACCCTCTATCCAGACCTTCTTCAAACTCCTGTACTTTTTATACCTCCGCTCTGTTTGCCCCTTGCTCACAATCTTGCTTCCTGCTTCTCCAGGACAGTGGGAGCACCCCAAAGGGAGCACCACATCCCGCAACCGGCTCAAGCCGGTCTCTGCACACTTGGCCCCCTCCTGTTTACTAGGTCTGAGCTGTTCACGCTCCCTCTAAGGAAAACCCCTCTGTGTTCCCCAGGCTCATCGCCTTGTACATGCTTGAGAGCTTGATTCAGGCTGGCGCCACGGCTCACTAGGCTAATCCTCTGCCTGCGGCGCCGGCACCCCAGGTTCTAGTCCCGGCCGGGACGCCGGATTCTGTCCCGGTTGCCCCTCTTCCAGGCCAGCTCTCTGCTGTGGCCCGGGAGTGCAGTGGAGGATGGCCTAAGTGCTTGGGCCCTGCACCCCATGGGAGACCAGGATAGCACCTGGCTCCTGCCTTCGAATCAGCGTGGTGCACCGGCTGCAGTGCGCCGGCCGCACCGGCCATTGAAGGGTGAATCAATGGTAAAGGAAGACCTTTCTCTCTCTCTCTCTCTCTCACTGTCCACTCTGCCTGTCAAAAAAAAAAAAAAAAAAAAAAGAGAGAGAGAGAGCTTGAGTCAAGTGATTTTCCTTTCTCTCCCATCATCACTGCTTCCTCTCTGTGAGATGGTTGGCATTCCTCATAGGGAAATATGTTCTTACCTCTTCCATCCTAAGGGGAGAATTCTCTTCACCCTTAAATGAGTTTTAACTCCCACTCCCCAGCTTCTCCCCGACCCCCATAGCCTGGACTGTAGACTGTTGTTCATTTCACTCACAGAGGCAGTCCCGGATCCAGTGATGGGTGGTTGGTCATTGGCAGCATCTGCCGTTCAGAACACCACCCTCTCCCGGTTTCCTCATTCCCTCAGCCCCCTTCTCTGTCCTCTCGCTGTCTCTTGGCTTGGCTGGTTCCTCTCCACCTCCCACAATGCGGGATGTTGGCGAGCTTTAGGATTTATTCATTGGAGGTTCATTCAAGCTACAGAGTTCTACTAAATAACAGTCCCAGATGCATAGCTCAGACGTGGACTGTACTCTGAGCTCCAGAACCCAGCTGTCTATTCAGTGATCCAACATGAATATCTAACTGGCAAGCCAAAAACAACAACTGATCTTGGAATATTTCCTGCCAAAATGCTTGCTTCTGCCCCCACTTTTATCACTGCAATAGTCTGGGGCCGGCACTGTGGCGTAGCTGGTAAAGCCACCACCTGTGGTCCCGTATCCCACATGGGCACTGGTTCAGGTCCTGGCTGCTCCATTCTGATCCAGTTCTCTGCTATGGCCTGGGAGAGCAGTAGAAGATGGCCCAAGTCCTTGGGCCCCTACACCCACATGGGAGAAGCTCCTGGCTTCAGATCAGCACAGCTCTAGCCATTGCAGCCATCTGGGGAGTGAACCAGCAGATGGAAACCTTTCTCTCTGCCTCTGTCTCTCTGTAACTCTGCCTTTGAAATAAATAAATAAATCTTTTTTTTAGTTTTTTTTATATTATATTTTATTTTATTTAGTAAATATAAATTTCCAAAGTACAGTTTATGGATTACAATGGCTTCACCCCCCACACACAATTTCCCTCCCATTCGCACCCCTCCCATCTCCCTCTCCCATTCCATTCACATCAAGATTCATTTTCGATTATCTTAATATACAGAAGATCAGCTTAGTATACCTTAAGTAAGTATTTCAACAGTTTGCTCCCACACAGAAACATAAAGTGAAAAATAATAGATGATTTTTTTTAAATGATGATGAAATCAGATCAGACCTATTGTCATGTTTAATCCCAGTGAGAGTCAAGTTGGGAATTGATAATTTCTTTCTTTTTTTTTTTTTTTTTTACAGAAGATCAGTTTAGTGTACATTAAGTAAAGATTTCAATCGTTTGCACCCCCATAGAAACACAAAGTGAAATATACTGTTTGAGTACTCGTTATAGCATTAAGCCTCAGTGTACAGCACGTTAAGGACAGAGATCCTACATGAGGAATAAGTGCACAGTGACTCCTGTTGTTGACTTTACAAATTGACACTCCTGTTTATGGCATCAGTAATCTCCCTATGCACCAGTTATGAGTTTCCAAGGCTATGGAAGCCCCTTGAGTTCTCCGACTCTTATCTTGTTTAGACACGGTCATAGTCAAAGTGGAGGTTCTCTCCTCCCTTCAGAGAAAGGCACCTCCCTCTTTGAAGACCTGTTCTTTCCACTGGGATCTCACTCACAGAGATCTTTTTGCCAGAGTGCTATGACTGTATTAAGTGGACTGTCTGCTTTTGATGGAGCCTTAGAGGCTTGAGATGGGTGTGGCCTGAGAGCTCTGTTTGGTTCCTCAGGGTTAAGGGTGTGCCAAAGGTGACACTCCCAGGTTAGGCGTTGTAAATCTCTCTCTCTCTCTCTTTCTTTTTTTGATTCAAAAGGGAAGTAATTCCGCACAGCTGAGTGGAATTGGAGGTAGTTAGCAGGCGAATGATATACCCACAGGAGCCAGAGATTGGAAGCTCTTTCCCAAGGACCACACAGGGAATCTGTGTTACCCTCAGTGTGGGCTCAAATTCTCCTGCAGCCTCCCACTGGGTTGCCAAAGTTACCGAATTGTAGCATCTCTGGAGAGTGCTCACGTGAATTCCGTGAGTTCTCTCCCCCACAGTCTCTTTTTTCACAGTCTCAGTTCATTAGCACCACACATTCACTAGGTCCTAATCTCATGTTATTTCACCCCCCAGAGTCATGTTTTTCTGCTAGGCCGAGGGCCGGTGCGGACCTGAGGTCTCCCTGCTTATCAAATAAATCTTTAAAAAAAAAAAAAACTATAGTCTTCTAGTTATTTTACCTAAAATCTAGCAACACCTTTAACTCCTCCCTTTCTTCCACACTCACGTGAAACCCAGCATTTTGATTCAATCCTGTTGATTGAATCAAAGGTGAATCTTCAACATGAGTCCTGCTATAGACTGGGGAATGAACCTGGGGATATGAGATACCTCTCTGTCTCTCTCTACTTGTCACTCTGCCTTTCAAATATAAAAAAATAAAATAAATAATGTGAGGGTTCCTCTAAAAATTTGTGGAAACCTGGAATTAAAAGATAAAGTTGGCCGGTGCCGTGGCTCACTAGGCTAATCCTCCGTATTGCGGCACCAGCACACCGGGTTCTAGTCCCAGTTGCGGTGCCAGAATCTGTCCCGGTTGCCCCTCTTCCAGGCCAACTCTCTGCTGTGGCCAGGGAGTGCAGTGGAGGATGGCCCAAGTGCTTGGGCCCTGCACCCCATGGGAGACCATGATAAGTACCTGGCTCCTGCCATCGGATCAGCACGGTGTGCCAGCCGCGGCAGCCATTGGAGCGTGAATCAATGGCAAAAAAGGATGACCTTTCTCTCTGTCTCTCTCTCTCTCTCATTGTCCACTCTGCCTGTCAAAATATAAAAATTAAAAAAAAAAAAAACTTGGCTGGCTCCGTGGCTCAACAGGCTAATCCTCCGCCTAGCGGCGCCGGCACACCGGGTTCTAGTTCCGGTTGGGGCGCCAGATTCTGTCCTGGTTGCCCCTCTTCCAGGCCAGCTCTCTGCTATGGCCCGGGAGGGCAGTGGAGGATGGCCCAAATGTCTGGGCCCTGCACCCCATGGCAGACTGGAGAAGCACCTGGCTCCTGCCATCGGATCAGCGTGGTGCGCCGGCCACAGCATACCGGCCGCGGCGGCCATTGGAGGGTGAACCAACAGCAAAGGAAGACCTTTCTCTCTGTCTCTCTCTCTCTCTCTCACTGTCCACTCTGTCAAAAAAAAAAAAAAGATAAACTTAATTTAATTTGGTGCAAAAAGAAAATCAAGACCCGTGCATAGCTTTTTCATAGTATGACCTAGTCCCACGTGTAGCTTTTTCACAATATATGACCTGGCTTTTAAGGACTGCTTGAAGTTATGATTTGAGATTACTTTGCACCAAAATAAACTTACCTTTCGTTCCATTTCCGTGAACCCTTGGAAGCCCTTCATATGTTATCATACAGCAATGTAAGAAATTAAGGAAAGTGGCACACTGTTACACTGTTTAATTGAGTTCTTTAAATAGCCGAAGGTAGTTGTTGTTTATGCTGTCTGTAAGTATTTACATATTGCTTTGTCATCATTTTCTTATCTTTTAATAATGCTTTTTCTGTAGCAGTTTTACTGTTGATGCCATTTCATCCACTGTAGGTATTTACTATGGTACAAAATACAGTGAGGCATTTATTTAGTTTTTCAATTTTCCATTTTAGTTTGACATTAAGCTGTCATTTTCTAGGACAGTTCATAAGATGAACATATTTGTATTTGTATATGAAAATGTATTCACTGACAGTCTGTTCTGTGTTATGCAGCATAATTACGACAGTTTTGCTTATGTTTTTGAATTAAGTATGCAAGTATTATTTTTAACAAAATAATTGGAAAACTACATGTTTGACCATGAAAACTGCATTATGGTCTTGATGCTAAAGAGATTCATTGTTTATTTCCAGCCACAGACCTCCTGTTTTCCAAGACACTCTCTGGAAAACCAGTTCCATTGGCCACAGCTGGAGATTGCTACAGTGCTGCCCGATGCCCGCAGGTATTTCATTTAAAAAATTTTTTTCTGTCACTATAAAAAAACCAAGTGTTTCTCTTCATCCGTTTTCTTAAGCAGAATGTTGTCTAAAAAAGGAAATAAATGGAAATGTAAAACTTGCTTTAAGTACATTATTTCAGAATTGTAGATTCAAGCTTGAGACAAAGGATCTTTGCCAGTTTTGATTGATTTGAAAGACCAAGTAGCAAGAACTTTAAATTACTCAGATTTCATTCTCCTCGCATGACATCTTATCGCTTCTCATATTTCCATTTAGTCTGTACACTAAAAAAAGTGGAAGCACAGATCACAAGCATGTGGATTTCCTCAGCTACCGTTCGTTATCCTGCTCGTCTGAGTCTAGCATTCTCTCCACGGCGTTCTGTTCTCTGTGAAAGACACGTGGGGCCCCTTTCCATATTTTCGTTCTTGTTTGTATCCTTTCTTAACAGAGTTTCTCTCACACATCCTTTTATGTCATTTCTGTGATTTCAGATTTAAGTGTGCTTCCTAGGAGAAAATTCACCATCTCATTTTCAACAAGGAATTTTATGTAGTCCATGTAAACAAGCATGTTAGTAAAAAATGGAAAATTTGAAGCTAGGTGGATATTTTATGGCATTATTAGATATATTCACAGCTAACTGAACCTATGAGCCAGAGCTCCTGGGAGAGGAATAGTAATTAACACATCGATGTCACTTTGGAGAGAAGTTAATGGTTTGCAGCATCTCTGTCCATGGGATTTCCAGTTCACAATTTTCATCCTCTAGCGTAGAGTATGTGTCCTTGCGTTAGGAATGAGGCCTTCGTCTGATTAGAGAAGTCTTAGAAGGGATCAGTATTCAACTGAATGGAAGGCTAACATGAGTAAGAGAAGATTATCCAGAATAAATATACAAACCCTGATTTAGGTACAGAGACCTGCTACATGGACAAGTCCTGGGTGTTTTATTCAACCATCATGACTTAAATGTGACTCATGCAGAGCATGGAGTGATTCATACGTAAGCTAATTACCATAAAAGCTTTGAGTTCTCCCTCATTAGCTGTGCTAGCCATGGACAGGTGTGAAGTATGCTTGCCACGGTGCCTTGTAGTGTCCTTGACTGGGTAGCGGGAGGGTCCTTCCATTTCTACCTTCAGTGTTTGTTAACCATGAGCAGCGCTGGATTTTGTCACATACTTCTTAGCGTCTGTTAAGATGACCCTGTGGGCCGGCGCCTCGGCTCACTAGGCTAATCCTCCGCCTAGCGGCGCCGGCACACCAGGTTCTAGTCCCGGTCGGGGCGCCGGATTCGGTCCCAGTTGCCCCTCTTCCAGGCCAGCCCTCTGCTGTGGCCAGGGAGTGCAGTGGAGGATGGCCCAGGTGCTTGGGCCCTGCACCCCATGGGAGACCAGGAAAAGCACCTGGCTCCTGGCTCCTGCCATCGGATCAGCGCGGTGCGCCGGCCGCAGCGCGCCGGCCGCGGCGGCCATTGGAGGGTGAACCAACGGCAAAGGAAGACCTTTCTCTCTGTCTCTCTCTCTCACTGTCCACTCTGCCTGTCAGAAAAAAAAAAAAAAAAAAAAAGATGACCCTGTGGCCTTTGTTCATTTCTGTGTTGAAGTCACGTGTCGTACTGCTTGACTCTGTCTGTCAAAGCAGCCTTGCATTTCTGTGACACATCCCCTTGTCCTAGTGCACAGTTCCTTCTACATGTTGCTGGCTTTGGTTTGCTGCTGTTTTGTGGAGTTTTTCTTCTGTGTTCACAGTGCTGCTCGATCGTTTTTTCTCTTGTAATGCCTTTGGTGGGCATCAGGGAACTACCAGTCTCAAAAAATGAATCAGGGAGTGTCTGTTCCTTTTCGTTTTGGGAAGAGGAGCTTATGAAGAGTGTGTTTGTCCTTGAACGTTGGGTAGAATCCACCAGCACTGCCTTTCTGAGGCCGCGCTTCGCGCGAGGTTTTGCAGTGACTGGTTCACTCTCCGTATTAACTATGGGTTTATTCAAGGCTTCTAGTTTGTCTTGGCTCAGTTTTTGTGGTGGATGCCTTTTAAAAAATGTGTGCATTTCATCGAAGGCGTCTAACTGGTTGTCACACACTGTCCGTAGCTAGTACTTCCTGTTTTTAGAGATTAGCGCTGTGCTCCCTCTTTCATTCCCGATTTTGATATTTTGAGTGTCCTCCCTTTTGTCTTTTGTTTCATTCTAACTGTTGTCCCCTTTTGTCTTTTTGGCTCACTGTAACAGAAGATTTGTTTTGTTCTTCTCAAAACACTTTTTTTTTTTTAAAGATTTACTTATTTATTTGAAAAGCAGAGTTACAGAGAGGCAGAGGCAGAAGCAGGGAGGGAGGGAGGGAGGGAGAGAGAGACAGACAGACAGACAGACAGGTCTTCCATCCACTGGTTCACTCCCCAGATGGCCACAAAGGCTGGAGCTGCGCCAGTCTGAAGCCAGGAGCCAGGAGCTTCTTCCAGGTCTCCCCTGTGGGTGCAGGGGCCCAAGCACTTGGACCATCTTCTACTGATTTCCCAGGCCCTAGCAGAGAGCTGGATCAAAAGTGAAGTAGCTAAGACTCGAACCGGTGCCCCTATGGGATGCCAGTACCACAGGCGGCAACTTTACCTGCTATGCCACAGCGCAGGCCCCTCAAAACACTAGCTTTTGAAATTGTTTACTTTCTTTATTTTCTCAATTTGTTTTCTAATCACTGTCACTTCTTTGTTTCTCTTGGCCTTAGATTTCATTTATTCCTCTTTTTCCATATGGAAAAAGTTACTGGTTTGAGATAGTGTTTCTTCTCTATTCTAGGCATTTATAGCTATAAGTTTCCCTGGAAGCATTTCTTTTGAAGCATCCCAAGAGTTTGGGCATATTGTAGGCTTGTTTTCCTTTAGCTTAAATTATTTTCTGTTGTCACTATGACTCCTTTGAATCATTGGTAATTTAAGAGTGTGGTGTTTAGTTTCCACACATTTGTGAATTTCCCGAATTTCCTGCTGTTTTTGATTTCTGCTTTCAGACAGTGGTGGTTGGAAAACATGTTCTGTTTCATTTCAGTGCTTTTACATGTGCTGGGCCTTGCTTCGTGGCACAGCACCCGGCTTACCCTGGGAAAGGTTGAGTGTGTGCCCGGGAAGCGTGTGCTCCCCTGCTGGGGACAGCGCGCTGCGGGCCGCGGGCCTTGCTGGCTGGGCATCTTTCAGTTCTGCCTCGACCTCCTCGACTTGCGCTGCATTCTCTGGCCAGAACCCTGCAGCTCTGTCACACTGCCTTCTCTCATTTTACTTACTTATTTTTTAAAAGATTTTATTTATTTATTTGAGAGGTAGAGTTACAGATAGTGAGAGGGAGAAACAGAGAGAAAGGTCTTCCTTCCATTGGTTCACTCCCCAGATGGCCACAACAGCCGGAGCTGCACCAATCTGAAGCCAGGAGCCAGGTGCCTCCTCCAGGTCTCCCTGGTGCAGGGTCCAAGCACTTGGGCCACCTCCTCTGCCCTTCTGGGCCACAGCAGAGAGCTGGACTGGAAGAGGGGCAGCTGGGACTAGAACCGGTGCCCAAACGGGATGACGGCTCCACAGGCAGAGGATTAACCCACTGCACCACGGAGCCAGCCCCGCCTCCTCTCACTTTAATGCTGCTGCCTCACTTTGAGGTTTTGTTGTACATGACTTATATAATTCATTGTACTTGACATGTCTTTTAGAGAATGCAAGAGAAGAAATAGGGTTTGTTATATGGATTTGCTTTTTTTAAAAAAAGATTTATTATTTATTTGAGAGACAAAGTTAACAGAGAGAAAGAAGAAGAGACAGAGAGAAAGGTCTTCCATCTTCTGGTTCACTCCCCAAATGGCTGCAACAGCTGGAGTTGGGCCAGTCTGAAGCCAGGAGCCAGGAGCCAATTCCAGGTCTCCCATGTGGGTGCAGAGGCCCAAGCACTTGGACTGTCTTCCAGTGCTTTCCAAGGTCATCAGCAGAGAGATGGATCTGAAGAAGAACATCCGGGGCTCAAACCAGTACCCCATGGGATGCCAGCGCCACAAGCAGAGGCTTAACCACTATACCACAGTGCCAGTCCTATGTGGGCTTCCTTATTTGGTGCTTTTGTTCTCTTCCTGTGGATCTGATTTGTTATTTGCATCACTTACTTATTCCAAAGCAGTCTTGCTTCCACTTGTCTCGTATCTGCCATCATTGCATAATATATTACATTTCTGTATGTCACTGGTCAATAGTTTAAACACATTCAGTGCCTTTTAAATATGTTAAGAGAAAAAAGGCAAGGTAGTGAATATCAGTGTCTTTTATAATTAGTTACAAAATCGTTGTCATCAGTACCATTCATTTATGTGTGTATGTAAGTGCACACACACACATACATACAGGAGTAGCTTATAAAGAAATAGGTTTTTAAGCAAAATTGTCCAGTCCTGACATGAGTTGGCTTTTGGATTATGAACAATCTCCATTTAGGAGGATGTAAAGTACTTCACAGTCTGATCCGATTAAGTCGCGGTCCCTTGACTGTAGTAGTCTTACTTGAAAGTCAGAGCGACAAAGCAGGAGAGAACGTCCATCCACTGATTGATTCCACTAATGCCTGCATCAGCCAGGCTGGGAACAGTGACGTCAGGAGCCTATAGCTCACTCCTTGTCTCCCACATGAGTTTAAAGAACCAGGTACGAGGCTTTGTCTCCTGTCTCCCAGGATGAGCACTAGCAGGTAGGTGGAAGTGGGAGCAGAACAGGAGCTGGACCAGGCACTCCAAAATGGGACGCGGGTATCCCAAGGGGCGACTTAACCACAGTGTGAAACACTTGCCCCGTCTTACAACGTATTTGGTGTGAAAAGAGAAGGGAATTGGCAATGCGAGCTAAACGTGTCAACAGTTGCTGATGCCAGCCTTCACAGATGCCATGACTTGGAAAGGTCTGCAAGTACTGGCAGTCTGGTCCCTGTCGTTCCATGTTGAACGGAGCAAGCTCTGGTCAGTGAGACATCGGCAACGTT